TTTTTTTTTTTTGTGACAGAGTCTCACTAAGTCATTAAACTGCACAGACTGGGTTCGAACTCGCAGTCCTCCTGTCTCAGCCTCCCAGAGTGGCTGGGATGACAGGTGTGCACCACCATGCCCACTTTCCATGTTCCTTCTTAATGGGCTTTAGAGAAGTGGGAGAGAAGTTACCTGGAGGGACCCACAAACCCCAGGACTGAAAAGACAGAGCAGTTCTTGTTTCTACAACCACATCTGCCCCTCCAGGAAAACAGAAATAAAATATCACCAGGCTTTCAGTGAGACTCAGTGTTTTTAATCGATTTCACTGCAAGTAGTCAGGGAGGAGCCCTGGGTGCCAGCAAAGGACAGATGGAGGCTCTGGCGCAGAGTGAGGGAGGCTGCTGCCTCTTTCTTAGGTCCCCAGCCTTGCCAGCCTTCGTGGCTTTAGGAACCAGGACCTTTGGTGGCCTCCGGACAGCTGAGATGTCTGCACCCAAGGGGTCGGCTCAGGAGAATGTGGGGTCCCTGAATGGGACTCGACTTCTCGGCCCGCTGACTCCTGCCTCAGCCTCTCCAATGCTGGGATTACAGACATGCATCACCACGCCCAGTTTTGTGTTGTCCCATTATACTTTGCTCCTCTGTCCTACATTCTGCCATTGACTCTGGGCCACTGCTGTCTTTGTGGACTCCAGTGAGCAGAGTGCCCCTTAGGGGATCTACACTGTGAGTGCCTCTCCTACTCTAGGGCTGGAAAAAGCTTGATTCCTCCCAGCTCGCTCAGCTTCCTCCTCCTCTGGGAGCCCAGGAAGCTCATCTGGCTTATGAGCAAAGACTGCCCAAGTTCATTGACCTCTGGTCAATAGCTTGAAATCAGCCCTGGAAACTGGCAAACGCCAGTCAGGGCTTTCCTCTTCCCTGAGAGCCAGTTACCAACCATCTCCCACCACATCAGGCCCTCTGCCTTCTCCCTTTCCCATCCTACCCCAAGAAACCCATGTACGAGAGGCTCTTGGCTTCCTCAACATCAAAATAAAAGAAGACAACCAGAGGAGGCCAGGGCCAAAGCATCAAACTTCTAAGAGAGTCAGAGTACTTCCACCCTGGCCGGGTGTGGTGGTGCACATCTATAATCCCCATACTCAGGAGGCTGAGGCCAGAGGATCGTCACGAGTTTGAGGCCAGCCTGGGCTACATAGCAAGACCATGTCTCCAAAAAAAAATTTTTTTTTAGATCACCTCTACCCTCCTTCAAATTCTCCCAGTGCTGAGTTCAATTTTCCAATCCCACAATCAAAGCTGAAAACAAAATAAACCTATGAGAGGAAAGGTATTGTTAAAGGGCAGGGCTGCTTCCAAATCCATTCCCCCCTCTGTATTTCAGATGAGAAGTCTGCCCGTCTGACTCTTTTCCATACAACTCTACTTGGGGTACATGCAACTACCCAATTCCACCAATATTTGGGTGAAATTTGCCTTTAGAAAATCCTAAAACAAAGGAAAAATAGTAGAGGTGGAACTGACAACTTGCCTTCCATTCCTCTACCAAAGATGCCCATTCCCAAAGTGCTAATGGGTCAGGGAATGACTGAACACCTTTAAAAAGAAACTAAGAAGGAAACATACATATACACACATGTCATGAACATGTGGACATTATCAAACAGCCCCCTAAACCTGTCAGGTAAACCTGAAATCTGTAAAATTTCAAATGAATTTTTTTTTCAAGACAGGGTCTCACTATGAAGTTCAGGCTGGCCTTGAACTCACTCTGTAGCCCTGGTTGGCCTCGAATTCACAATTCACTTCGACCATCCTGCCTCAGCCTCCCAAGTGGTGAGATTACAGGCATGAACCACCACACCCGACTTCCAAAGGAATGTTTAAATGCACCTGTTTAATTGGCCCAAGATGGAACCTCTTGAAGTCAACATCAGAATCTCTAGAAGGACCCCAACCCCGGATACAGAAGCATTCACACTGGGAGATATTTGTTCAAGGGCACAGAGATTCTGACTTAAACACTGCCCCAGGTCAGTGGCAAGGTTGGCCTGCTTCTCCCCAGATTCAGATGTCTGGGGCTCAGTGTTGGGGCCCCATTGTCCACAGTGAGCAGGCACTGGGCTGAGAGCTTTCCTAAGTCCTATGCACAGCCTGGGAGAGGCAGAAGCCCTGCCCTGGGGCAAAGGGGTGGACTTTGTAGGACTGAGCCAGAATCCAAGCTGCAAGGAGGCCAGGACAGCAGTGGAGACAGCGTCTTCTACAAGATCTGAAACTTCCAGGCACTCTGATCCTTGTAGTCCAGGGGGTCCATGGGGTTGTAGGTGAATTTCCAGGTGCCCATGGGGTCCTTGAATTCCAGGCTATCCACGGGGCTGTAGGCGCTGTAGCTCTGGCCTGACAGGGAGGTGGGGGACTGGGCCAGGGAGGGACCCACCGAGGGGCCCGACAGGGGGCTGAGTGCCGGGCCCCCCAGCTGGGGCACCATGGGAGAAAGGTAGGGGTCCAACCCACTGAAATAGGAGCTCGGAGAGCCATAAGCTGAGGGTGAGGAGCAGAAAGCCGAGGCAGGGGCATAGGTCATGGTGTAGGGGGCTGAAGTCAGAGACGGCCCTGAGGCCACCAGCCCAGCCCGCTGGGCTTCAGGCAAAGGGGACTCTGAGGCCGGACTCCAGATGGACACTGTGGCCACTTCTGTGGTGGGGGAGCCTGAGGGGCCTGCCAGAGGGGGGCTGTAAGAATCTGAGATGCCCAGAGGGTCAGGACACACATCCGTGGAGGGCCGAGGAGAGCCGCCTGCCTTCCTCTTGGCAGGACGAGCCTTGGCCTGTGCCCCTGGCGGCTGCTGCTGCTGCTTCTGCTGCTGCCGCTGCTGTCTGCACTTGGCCCTGCGGTTCTTGAACCAAACCTAGGACAAGAGCAGAGATCCGAGTGGTAAGCGGGAAAGAGGCCCAAAGATGGTACTGTAGGAGGAAGTGCCTGAGTCAAATGTTGCTGCTTTGCGCCCAGTCATGGGGCACCTGTTCATCTGCCCAATGCACAACAAATATGCATGCAAACATCATGTCTGCACACATGTGTGCACCCACCCATCATGCACATATACATGCAGTCACACATGCACAGCCATACAAACATGCATGCATGTTTATCCCACCCAATCATACAGATATATACACACACTCACCCATCCCTCCAATTACACAGACACGTGTAATGTGAATACTCATACATAAATACATCCATCTATCCTATCATATGTGTGCATGTATACAGTCAATCATATATATATACAATCCAGCCTTCCAATCATACAAACATATGCATGTACAGAGTCACACAGAGATGCATTCATCTACCCTCTGTCCCATGTACATAGATACTCTCAGTGAAGAGCTGAGATGGAGCTCAGTGGTACACCACTTGCCCACCACACTGGAGAAACTGGGTTCCATCTCCAGCACCACAAGAAGAAGAAGAAGGAAAAGAAGAAGAAAAAGAAGAAGAAGAAGGAAAGGGAAGGGGAAGAAGGAGGAGAAAGAAGAGGAGAAGGAGGAAGAAGCAGTTAGAAGGAGAAAAGACATACACACATGTCTCTCCTTCCAACCACCTATCTCCAGCACCACAAGAAGAAGAAGAAGGAAAGGGAAGGGGAAGAAGGAGGAGAAAGAAGAGGAGAAGGAGGAAGAAGCAGTTAGAAGGAGAAAAGACATACACACATGTCTCTCCTTCCAACCACCTATCTATCCATCCACCCATCTACCCATCCACCCAACCATCCACCCATCCATCCATCCATCTACCCATCCACCCAACCATCCACCCATCCATCCATCTACCCATCCATCCAACCATCCACCCATCCATCCATCCATCTACCCATCTACCCAACCATCCACCCATCCATGTACCCATCTACCCAACTATCCACCCAACCATCTACCCATCCATCAATCCATCTAGCTCACAAGCACAAATTAACCATCTTTCATTCTCCATTCCAGAGCCATATGCCTAGGGCACTACTCTGGGGACACATCACATCAGTGGAGCTGACATCTAGGTGGGTTTGCCATGTTACAAGTAAATAGTAAATAAATGAATCATAGAGTCTTTTAGAAGATGTAAAGACTATGGGAAAAGCAATCGAGTAGGAAAAGGAGGAACAGAAGATATGAGGTGAGACTGTAGGTGAATTTAATTGTATCATAAGGTAGGAGTAGCTCAGTGGTAAAGCACTTGCCTAGCATGCACCAGGCCCTGAGTTCCATCCCCAGTATCACTAAAAAGAAGAAAGATAAAGTAAAAAGCCAAATCTGAGATTCTTTATTAAAAGTTCCAGCAAAGCAGACTTTTGGGGGGTTTTTTGGTTGGTTGGTTGGTTGGTTGGTTGGCTGGCTGGCTGGTTGGTTGGTTTTGAGACAAGAGTCTCACTATGTAGTTTAGGCTGGGCTTGAACTCACTATGTATCCCAGGCTGGCCTCTAACAGGTGTGCACCACCACACAGGGCAAAAGCAGACTTTAAAGAACGAAAATAAAATGCTGTGATCAGTGTGGGTCTCCTTGCCAGACTGAATGACAAGCGGAGACCTGAACGAGGTATGGGCTGGGGAACCCCGCAGGAACAGCTGTACGGAACAGGAAGCTTCACTGGAGCAGGGATCGGAACCAGCAGTCGGGAGGCGGGGACAGGACAGAAGCCAGGGACGCAAGGCCTCTTCCCAATCTGGCCTCAGGAAGGGCCGGCCGCGGGGACAGGGCGCCCACCTGAACCCGGGACTCCGGCAGGTTGATCTTGAGCGCCACCTCCTCGCGCGCGTACACGTCCGGATACTGGGTCTTCGCGAACAGCGCCTCCAGCTCCTCCAGCTGGCTGCGCGTGAAGGTTGTCCGTTCCCGGCGCTGCTTCCGGGGGACGCCTGTGCGGGCGGGGTGGGGACCTCAGCGCCCCGGGACATGGGCTCGCCCTGTCCTTCCTTCTCCCCCTGGCAAAGTGGCTTTAACCCTGTAAGCAGGTGTGTGAGTCCCCTGCCCCTTGTAAAATTTCTTTTCTTTTCCTTTCTTTCCATTTGTTTGTTTGTTGAGACAGCATCTCACTGTGTAGCCCAGGCTGGCCTTGAAATCTCAGCAATGCTCCCATCTCAGCCTCCGAAATGCTGGGATTACGGGTGTGCACCACCACGCCTGCCTCTCCTCTCTCTTTCTCTCCAGTGGAGTCTCACTATCTCGCCTAGGCTCCTCCTAAAATCCTAGGATCAAGCGATTCTCCTGCTTCAGCCTCCCAAGTAGCTGGGACTATAGGCTCATACTACGGCAACCAGCCCCAACTTGTGAGGTTCCTAAAGTTCCAGAAGATCTCTTCTGCTCTAAGACACTGAAGCTGAAAGATGATTGCTGAGATTCCATTTCTACCCTGTAAAAGTGGCGAATCAGCACAGTTTGAATTAATACAAAAGGGAGGAAAAAAATAGAAGTCCTGGCATGGTGGTATAGATTTTAAAATTTGAACCCAACTTGAGCAATTTTGCAATTTAGCTCTTTTTTTTCTTTCTTTCTTTCTTTCTTTCTTTCTTTCTTTCTTTCTTTCTTTCTTTTTCCAGATTGAGCCCAGGGCATTCGCATTGAGCTACAGCTCCAGCCATTTTTATTTTGAGATGCAGTCTCACTAAGTTGTCTGGCCTTCACTTGAACTGGATATCCTCCTGCCTCAGCCTACCAGAATGCTCAGAGTACAGGTGTGCACCACCATGTCTAACTTGCTAACTTAGTGACTCAGCAAGACCCTGTCAAAATTTGTTTGGTTGTTTCAGGGTCTCACTATGTGGCCCAGGCTGACCTCAAACTCATGGAGATCCTCCTGCCTCAGTCCTGTGTTCTCCTACCCTGCTAAGGATGTGCAGGTGTGTTTCATACTTCAGAGAAACACAGGAGCCACCATATGGCCCCAGTGCCACCCTGTAAGTGTCTTTCCCCGAGGGCAAGGGACCCCAGAGATCGCTGAGAGATGGGGCCAGTGGGGAGGACAGGAAGGAGGACGGCACTCACTTGGGTACGGCACAGCCTGGTGCATTAGGTCCACGCTGGGGCCACTCAGGGCCAAGGCGTTGACGGAATAGTGGGGCCCGGGGTTCATATACGCCATCATGATCTTCAGAGACACGGGCCCCAAGCTGAGGGCCTGCAAGACAAGAGGATGTCAGACACTCACTGTTGGTGACGCGCAGGCTGAGGCTCAACTCTAGGGTCTCACTGTGTAGTGCAGACTGGCCTTGAACTCACTGTGTTGTAGCCCAGCCTGGCCTCAAACTCATGGGCATCCTCCTGCCTCAGCCTCCCCAGTGCTGGGGTCCCAGGCCTGCACCACCACGCCCAGTCCTCGTCTATAAAATGGCCGTCTGGTTATTGTTGTGAGGGTTTCACTGCAACTGTAAAGCAGAAAGGCAAACCCATCGTGGACTTCATCCTGTAAAAGATCGGAGCCACTCTGGTGGGGAGGATCAGACTGTGATCCCAGCAGCTGGGAGGCTGAAGCAGGAGGGTCAAAAGTTCAAGCCCAACCCGGGAAACTTAGCTGAGCAAGACCCTGTCTCAAAATTTAGAAAATGTTTACAGGGCTCCTTTCATCCCAGTGCTGGACAGGGATGGCAATCACTCTAAGGGACGTTAGCACTAATGTGGCAGGAGGCCAGAGCACACCTGCCACAATGCATGAACCCTCAGCTCCATCCCCAGCACCAAAAAAGAGGAAAAACACCATCACTGAGTGATGATCTTCCAGGATTGGTCCTGACCAGCTGGGCCAGAGAAATTGGCCCTCCTGGGGCAGTGCCGACCAGAACACACTAGAAGACTTTGTCACACACAGCCATCTTTCCTTGGTCCTGGCAACCTGCCACAGGGTGTACCTCAGTCACCTGGTCACACATGGGGAAAGATATAAGGTGGTTTAAATATAGTATCCAAGCCCAGCATGTCGACGCATACTGGTGATCCCAGCACTGGGGAGGCTGAGGCAAGAGGATGCCCATGAGTTTGAGGCCAGGCTGGGCTACAACACAGTGAGTTCAAGGCCAGGCTGAACTACATAGCGAGACCCTGTCTCAAAAAAACAAAAAAAAAAAAAGAAAAGAGAATTCTCAAGCAAAGAGACAAGAGTGAATGCCTGCTGGGCATGGTGGCACACACCTGTAATCCCAGCACTCAGGAGGTTGAGGCAGGAGAAAGGAGAGTTCAAGGCCAGCCTGGGCTACACAGCAAGACCATGGCTCAAAGAGAGCTGTATGGGAAGGGAGGGAGAGGAGGGGAGGCCAAGGGAGGACTTCCAGGTTGCAGTTTTATTTCCATGGAGACCTTTTGGGGGCTTTGTCGTTGTTTTTTACGGCTCAGCACATCGTTTCTTTTTCTCTTTCTTTTCTTTTCTTTCTTTCTTTCTTTTTTTTTTTTGTACCGGGAATCAAACTCGGGGCCTCACACTTGACAGGCAGGCGCTGCGCCACTAAGCTACTTCCCGGCCTTTTTTTTTTTTTTTCTCAAACAAAACATTTATTGGCACATTGTAGGTATACGTAATGAACATATTCATCATAGGGAATCTGACCTGTACATAATGTATCTTGCTTCTTCTTTTTTCCCCTTCCCTTCCCTCCCTTTGACTCCTCTTCCTTTCTTAATTTACAAAAGCTTTGTTTCCCTTTTTTCCTTCTATTTTCTTTTTTTTTCTTGTCCCTTCCTTTGTCTCCCCTATTCCTCCCCTGTTCCCCTTCTCATTTGAACATTTTCTTCCCATTTCTCACTATCTATTACACATTTTGGTCCTTATTTCCACTTTTAGTTTCTCACACCAGAGAAACAATGCAGTATTTAAACGCGTCCTTTAGCTAGAAATGTCTCAAGCCCGCCCTTCTCTATGGCAGAGTAGTACTTGTCACGGAGATCTTTAACCAGCTTTGTATCTAACCAAGTGATCCTTTCTCCAGCACCTTGTTTTCGGGTTTTTTTTGAGAACTGACCTTTCTTTTTTATTATTTTACTGTGTTCATAAATGCTCACAGTCCCTAACAATCACATTCATCGTGGAAAGCTGGCACACACATGTAACACATCTTCATCTTTTTCACCCACTTCTCCCTTTTTCCCTCCATCCAACTCTGGACCCCACCTCTGGGAAAAGAACTTTCTCTTTGTTTTCTACTAGGTATTTTGTATGTTTCTCTTCAAATCATTTTTATTTTTAGTTACTCATATAAGACAGATCATGTGATATTTAAGCTTTTCTGTTCGATTTTCTTTCTGATTTTCTTTCTTTTTTTTTTTTTTTTGGTACCAGGGATCAAACTTGGGACCTTATACTTGCAAAGCAGGCAGTGGAACTGCAGAGCTAAATCCCCAGCCCAAGTCTGATGTTTTTAATTGTTAAATTGTTTCTTGGTTGTACAAGTTGGTAGTACCTGATGATTACATGTATGGTGAGGGGTTGGTACATGTACATAATTTGTAATATGGTTTTAGCCCTTTCCCTCCCTCCCTGAATCCACCGGACCTCTTTGTGTATAGTTACAGTGTGTCTGTAGTACCTGAGGAGCACGTTCTTGACAGGGACTTGGTGCGTGTACACAGCACTTCACAATCTGTCACTCTTTTCCGATCTCATCTCCCTCCCTTCCTTCCTCCTCTCTCTCAGTTCACTTCCCACATGTCAAACATTCAGTTTGATTTTTCCTACTCCCTTTTATTCTGCACTTCAGTTATATATTGTGACTCTCACTTACAAGAAACCAGGTATTATTTAAGCTTGTGTGTCTTATTTACTTCACTTGATATTATGGTCTCAAGGTGCTTCCATTTTCCTACAAATGGTATTATAACTGGACTCTAGAAACTCATGTTTTCTTTAATTTGTTCTGAGACTCATTAATAGAAGATTATATTCTCAAGTTTCCATAGTTTCTATACACTTTTGGCATTTCTAGTGTCATTGCCCTATGATCTGATACTAGGCATGCAACAATTTTGATTCTGTTGTATTTACATAGGAATGCTTTATGGGCTAGTATATGGTAGTCTTATTGACATTGTTGTTGTCAGTGTCTCCCAGGGGCTGGGGATTTAGCTCAGTGGTTCTGCTGCCTGCCTCACAAGCACAAGGGCCTGAGTTCGATCCCTGGTACCAAAAAAAAAAAAAATAGCATGTACCCTGTGCTATTGCCTCTGTTGTCTTCAGTGTCTAAAATGCATAAAATCATTAGTCATGAGCAGCATATTTGAACTTCATGTCTGTGATATGTGAAGTACCGATGCCAGCATTTGCCCCTCACCATGGGAGAAACGATCACTATGAGGTTTATGGCTTTGGCGGAGATCAGTGTTCTCAGTGCTTAAATTTTCTTTGTAAGATTGGAGGAAAATCTTAGACTTTTCCTGAAAGTTTTGTACTCATCTTCAATTTGCTGGACACCTGAGTTTCTTCCTATGGCAGCCAGGTTCCTAAAGGTTTCCCACGTCACATCTCTGTAGAGCTTCTTTTGGGATGGATCCAGCAAAGCCCACTCCTCCCTGGTGAAGTTCACAGCCACATCCTCAAAGGTCACTGCCTCTATCTCGTGGCTCCCGATCCCTGGAGTCCTTCCCATGCAGCCTGTAGCCAGCAGCAGTCACAGAAGGCGGTCTAGCCCGCCGGGGGCTCTCAGCGCCCCACTTGGGACACTTGCTTGGGCACCATGACACCGGAAGTCCCCAGCACCTTTTTTTTTTTTTGAGACAGGGCCTCCCTGAGTAGCTCAGGCTGGCCTAGAACTCATTGCAATCCTCCTGCCTCAGCCTCCCAGATGACCTAAGTCTTTGAACTGTGCTTATTATATATGTGTTTGAGAGGCAGGCTTTTTGTTTGTGGTACTGAGAATTGAACCCAGGGCTTTTGCCCTGAGCAACATCTTCAGTCCTGTTTTATTTTTATTTTGACAGCCAGGTGTGGTGGCACACTCAGGAGGCTGAGCCAGGAGGATTGAAGAGAGTTTAGGGCCAGCCTCGGACTATATAATGAGTTCAAGGCCAGCCTGAATTACATAGTAAGACCCTATCTCAAAAACTAATTTTTTCAATTTAAAAATTTTGATTATAAATATTTCTCATTTAATGACCTACATGTTTAACAGCTGTTTGAACTTACAACCAAGGCATGCTGCTCAGACTTACGACCCATCTTTTTTTTTTGTACAGTTCTGTACCTCTTGTTTACAGAGCCTCAATGTCTTTTTTTGTACCGTATACCTTGTTTATACAGTACTGTCATTTTTGCTGATTGTACTGTACAGTACAGTGCTGTAGTTTTGTTTGTTTTGTTTTGTTTTTTGGTACCGGTACCGGGGATCGAGCTCGGGTCCTTGCGCTTGCACAGCAGGCAGCAAAACCACTGAGCTAAATCCCCAGCCCCCAGTGCTGTAGTTTTATGTCCTGTTACACATCACAACACTGCATGTAAGAGTGATGCAAATAAAGGCAAAGTCATAAGGTTGGAGTTTCGTTTGACCATTTCTTTGTTCTTTGACTATGTCATTTCTTTGCTTCTGATGCACATACTATATATAACTCTTCGTTTAGCGATTAATTCATTTAACAACCTAGTGGTGGTAACAGATCTCAGTCATTAAGTGAGGAGTGTCTTTTTTTTGAGACAGGGTCCCACTGTACAGTCTAGGCTGGGCTTGAACTTGTAGCAGTCCTCCCATGCCCTCCCGAATGCTGAGATTATAGGCATGCCCCACCATGCCTGACCTTGCCTTTTAAATTTTCTAAGCATACTTTGATAATACGTGGGGGGGGGGGGGGTGTCTATTAGTTATCAAATATGATCAAATTATATATTTAGATAACATATTTGTAGCATGTGTTTATTACACATATCATGTAATCATTTAATATTATTTATTATAAATTTTATAAAATTAAAGTATTTATTATAGCTGAGCACAGGCCTGGGCTCCATAGTGAGTTCAAGGCCAGCCTGAAATACATAGCGAGACCCTGTCTCAAAAAAACCCAAAAAAATCAGGGCTGGAGATTTAGCTCAGTGGCAATGCACCTGTCTCGCAAGCGCAAGGTCCTGAGTTCAATCCCCAGTACAAATAAATAAATAAATGAATAAATAAAGTAAAATAAAATGAC